CATTGTGTCAAATACGAACAAAAATTTGACATATATATGAACTTGGACTGCATAGCATTTATGAACACAATATGAACATAATAAGAATAACTGCTATACGAAAGGAAATAAATAAAAAAAACAGGTATGAACACGATATGAACAGTTTGTGAATAATAGTTCCTTCATTATAAACACATTCAGGAGCGATCTTTTATCAATATGAGTTTTATACATGCATTGCATCCACACCGTTTAAAGTTCACCCCTTGTTCATATATGTTTCTGATCTTATATGGTTGTTTACCCCTTGTTCATATCGTGTTCACCCTTGTTCATAGATGTTTATGATCTTATATGGTTGTTCACCCCTTTTTCATATCGTATAAAATATATGAACACATAACCCAACGCTATGAACACCGGGTGCAAACACTTACACAAATATAAAAATTTGGTATCAAGCTTAAAAAATAATACTTGTGTTCATATGATATAAGTAACATGAACACAATGGTTCATGATTAATAAAAATCGGTAATATGACAATATGAAAATGGGTCGTGCATGTAATTCCATTTGAACATGTGAATTAGGTACGTATTTTAATAATTAAAAAAAAAGCTATCAATACAAGATGAATTACAAAAAAAAAACACATCGTAATGAACATAATTCGATTAAAACGAATCTTAAAAAAATAAAAATCTATTACCAAGACATTCACTTTGGTTAATTTCTTTAATTCCCGACCTCGAACTCCGATTGTTATCATAAACCATTTTAATCTTCTCATTGTTGTTGATTTATTTTCTATTGCGTTTATCCATATTAGCTTGATCGATACCGAAATTTTTTACTACCGTGTTTTCTTTGCGAATTAAAAACCGATAAAACAATGAACATGGAAGATCAAGATTAAAAAAAATATTAATATTATAAATGCATATTTTTTGGAATTTGATGATTTGTAACTCCCCATTAATTGTTTGGGAGTTACATATCAAATCAAATTACTGAAATACCCTTGTAATTAAAATATGAAAATGACATAAACCTACAAAAAGAATGAAATTTGATTGGTTGCCATGGTTTTTAAAGTTAACACAAAATTGTTGGTTAACATTTGATCTTCCTTATATGTGTGTGTGTGTATATATATATATATATATATATATATATATTAGTTGTGTACCCGCGCAATGCGGCGGGAGCCATGAATTTTAACGATTTTAAAGTTCCACGAGTTTTATAAGATAAAATTTAACAATGATATAGGTTACACTTGGTCTTTATATATTAATACAATTTGAATAAATAAGAGTTATGGTTCCAATTACAGACTATCGATGAAAAAAATTGTATGGTAGTTTAAAATCCAATATATTTAAAATCCAACATATTTAAACGACTCTACAAATGTATATCGGAAGAGGTTTGCTTATGGTTTACATTAGGAATAGTGAACAGTAAATAATGGTTGTTTAACAACTTTGAGAGCAAACAAAATATGAATTAATTGTATACACTGAAAAGAAAGACCAAAAATCCATATGATTCCTAAACATTACAGAAGAAGATGCAGCATTGCAAGTGTTGAAGCAAAAGACAATAAACAAATAGAAAAGGGAAAAGGGAAAATCAAGTACAAACAAAACCACCATCACTCAGACTGTCTTTGATTTGGAAGCCTTCTTCTTGTTTAATGGTCTTCTTAGCATTGAGGTCTTCATGCCAATGAAAAACATGAGTCCCCCCAACAGTGCCAGATTCTTCAAAAATCCACAAAATCCATTTTTAACTAAACTTCTACATAGTCGCTCTACTTTTTATAGTAGAAATCAGGTTTGCGTACATAGTACCCATGGCCCCACCTCGGTAGGATATACCCATGTGTATGGGGGCTAGTTTGGTTTGGTTTGGTTATTTGACTATATGAAACAATCAACCAAAAATAAAGAGGGGGTGTGTGTCATTCTAACCTGTGTAAATTTGATAAAAAGTTGAGAGAATTCTTTCTTCTCTACGTCATAGTTGTAGAAATCATACAAGATGGGAGTAGCAATCAGCTAGTGCAGAATCTGAAACAAAACAAAAGCTTTAACGGTTTACTCCTTARCCAACAATYRAAGAAAACGATGCTTATAATCATATGAGTTACTAACCAGAAGAAAAGCACCAATTGTGCTGCCAAAGATGAAAAGGAGGCTTCCGATACCCTTCAGGGCTATAGCTCCAGCAACTAAAATTTTGATCTATAGAAGTCATATCACCATAATGAAAATTAGATGTATGTGGTAATAACCACGGGTTCAATCCTATTGAGAACTAAGCAGCGATTYTTGCCTCAAATTCTGGCACTTGGAACCCRGTGTGTGCTGTGACATGCTTTGAGAACACACTGAACTTGGGCACAAGGGTTTTTGCTGCTGATCCACCATCATTGCCAAATTCATTGAACCTATATTCAACAGTTAATCAGAAGATCAAAATGGGAGAATTACCAACAAAAAGAGCAATTACTTAAAAAACATATAAGAGCCAGTCAAACTAAACAGAGACTTAAATCAGCCCATACTCTTTTAATTGATGATCACACTTAATATAAACATGATGAGCCAAAAGTAATTCTTTTCCCCCATGTTAAATGAGATTACATTGAGTTGCTCATCTCAATACATAATGCTTATTAGACAAGAACATTGACTTGCTTGTAACTTCCATTAAAATTTACTTTTTGGTACTGCGAAAGAGAGTCACTTCTGATGTAGAGGTTCAAACCAAGTGCTTAACAAATGACATAGGTTTCTTAGATTTAGCTCAAAAAGTGTTTCTATTTAATTTTCTCTATTTAGTTAAATGTAGTCATCAAATTCTTCTACATAATGATGTACCCTTTTTGTCAATTAAGTTAGATAGTAATCCATTTGGCACTAAAAGATCAAATATGGGCTCTTCCTTTGGCTCTTCCTTTGGTACGAAGGTCTAATAATTGTTATGTTCTTCAAAAGATATACTAATTTTAGATTTTGTAATGCTTTTCCCTGTCTATTTTAAGCTCTCAAGTTTTTTATTAGGTAGTTGCATTTTAGTTGAAATTATACTTCATCCACCCATAAGCTAGCTAAAACGACCAATTGGCTGCACCTATGTTACATGTTTTGAAATAGCTAAGGGTCATCTATTCAGGTCATCTGCAAAATATATTGCATCCATTTATGTAAGTTACTGCATTGAAATATCCTATGGGGTCACTAAATAACTTTTAAGTTGCGAAAACAATAGGGATTAATTTATACACTTATAGTGAACGGAAGTCCTATTTACAAAAAATTGTTGTGGAATGTTGTGCAGCTGGAGATTCCAAAGAAATTGTTTGATCCAAATGTGTTCAATGCTTGGATGGTTCTCTTCTTATACATGTTGGAGCGACCTGTTCCATTAGAGGGCCAACCTGCTGATCTAGATAGTCTAACAGCTTTTTTCATTAGGATAACTTGTAGCTATGTAATTGTTAGTCTAAAGTTCCATCATAAAAAGAGATTTAATCCCAATATGATCCTATTGTTCCTTTCCTGTAAATCCCCATAAATCACACTATATCAAATTCAAACACACTTTGAAATACCTGAATATTGGGATACATTCAGGAGCATTATACCCAAATGCCCTTCCATTAAAACCCTACATCACCTTACCCAACCCACAATCCCCCAACCTCGGTTCAAAGTCTGCATCTATTAGTCCAAAATCGAAGCAATAATAACGCTTTATATGGGGTGTTTTGCCTGGAAGCTTACCAGGATAAACAAATGAAGTTTCAAACAAACATTGATGAAAGAACCCATCCTTGGATCTCACATGATTTGAACAAAACCCTAATCACAATTAAAGTAAGAATTGGAACATTTAAAGAGGGAAATATTAGAACTCACCATATTCAGAAATCAATTGTGAATCATACCGAGAGCCTGAATCGAACATCTTGGGAAATCAATTGTGAATTGTCGCTTTGAAGAGGGAGGCGATAGGAGCGTGTGTGAAGAGAGTGATTGATATTTATAAGTCGCCTGAGGAGAGGAGAGCGTGCGATAGAGAGAGAGAGAGAGAGAGAGAGAGAGAATCGGCGTGCGATAGAGATAGAGAGAATCGACGTGCGTTGGTGAATCTTGGAGACTGAATCGGTGTGGGATAGGAGAGCGTGTGAAGGTGTGTGAAGGTGGCCATCTTCACGTGATAGAGGCAGTGAAGGTGTTTCTGCATTAAAGGCTAGTACCCTAAATTGAAAATGCATAAAAAAGTTGTACATTTTTAAGACTTTAAGACTTTCTGCATTAAAGGGTAGTACCTTATGCATGTTAAGGTATTTTTAAGACTTTGGCCAAATTTGCTTTATAAAGTAGTATAAATATATATGTGTGTGTGTGTGTGAACCAACGTTCATTTACGTAAAAAGGAACCCACCGCCTCCATCTCCATCCCCATCCCCTGAAGCTCTACGTAAAACAACTCCTCCATGCCTCATCGGAGCGTCCCTTGCCATCACCGGTCAACCACCATCATCTTCATTCTCTGCCCCCCCCCCCCCACTTCTTTCCCCTATCTTTCTCACGAGATAACCGGTAATAGATTGGGTGATGAATCGATGGCTTTCGGTGGCTTCCATGGCAGGAGATGGAGGCCAGATGGCTTTTTGAATTGGGTTAAAAAAAATAGACTGAGCGGTAAAATTGACATTTTATATGTTCAACCTGTTTTATTCAGTCCGATAACGAACAACAGCTTATGTTATGTCATACATACAGCTTTATCAATACAGACAACTTTATCCATACATGTATTAACAAAAAATAAACTTAACAACCCCTAAGTCTCTTGGGTAAGCCTACCTTCTAACACATAATGCATACATTTCATGAAAGATGCCTGTAACCACCGTCCCGGTTCTAGATTTTTTAAAATTTACAAACAAGTTCTTGTAGTTTAATTTACATTTCAAGTTTTACTCTTTAACCTTGTTTCTTTCATTTATATACCCAAGTGTTAGATCTTAAAATTTCAATGCATAAAATAGCGATACGGGTTAACCATTGTGCTTTTATGTGTTCATGAAAAAAACTAACTTACTATATAATATTTATCATATGCAATTTAGAAATAGTATTTATGGAAAAGCCTATAATTGTTTTCAGATATTGTGGAAAAAAATAAGTTACTAGTACCTTTGATGAAAATGTTATTCGGTTTTTCTTCGAAAGGAAATACATCACCGCCTCAAAATACTTCTGGTTCAGAAAATGGTTTTGAAAAACTAACGAAAACAGTAACAATATTTATGGTTGTTATTTAGAACAAGTACAACCGTCGAACCCCCCTTAACATAAATTCCTAGCTCCGTCCCTGTGTATAATAGAGCTAGATCAACATTTATCTTCTATTTCGACGTGTTCATCGATTAGTATATTCAAAAGTAAAACTTTAATTAGTTGTACATATGCAGTGATAAGTTGTAAACTTGAACTTTAAAAAGTTATGTATTAATAAGACAAAACTACTACTTAGAAAATTGCTTTTAAGAGTTTTTACCAAATGTGAAATAGCATAGTAAAGATTATCTAGCTTACAATGTTTAACTGTCTTCTTTTAATCAGATAGATCTATAGATATTATGTTAATAAACTTGTTTTAAATATGGTAAAAATAAGAACATGTTACAAATACTAAAAAACACTTTCGACAATTTACGACAATGAGTGAAATTGTGTTTACAAAAAAGTCAAATTATGATATAATAAACAGAAGAATATTTAAAGTGTAATATAAGAAACTAAAGAAGAGATTCAAAGACATTTACAATTAGTTCACAAAAAAGAAAAATTAGTCAAACAATAAAATAATCAAGCAATGTGGTTAGAGTTTGCTGAACAACAGTTAAACAGCTATAAGAAAAACATACTAACTAATTAAGTGACTTAATTATAATCAGACATATGAAACCAAAAATAGGACAGTATACATGCAAGTCTAAGGTACAGACGAGAAGTTGAACTAAAAATGCCAACTTCTTTGTCATTCCCACCAACTCATCATCAATGGGTCCCTCTTCTCCATGACTCAATCTTCTATATAAATCCAAATCCACAAACATATGTTCCCAATCCAACTCAAACACCTTCTTAGTTATTGATTGGCTTCATCAATCCAACGCAATCTCAATGGCTAATTCCTATCTCATTTCCTTCCTACCACTCATACTAGTTTCGATCACTTTAGCGTCAATAAGTGGTGGGATGATCAGTGCTGAGGCACGTAACTTTTTGGAGATATCTAAGGTTCCAAAGCCTGAACTTCCAGAGATTCCGAAGCCCACACTTCCTGAGCTTCCGAAGCCTACAATTCCAGAGATTCCAAAACCCACACTTCCTGAGCTTCCGAAGCCCACACTTCCTGAGATTCCAAAACCCACTGTTCCTGAGATCCCCAAGCCCACAGTTCCAGAGATCCCCAAGCCCACAGTTCCTGAAATTCCAAAACCCGTACTTCCTGAGCTTCCAAAACCCACTGTTCCTGAGATTCCGAAGCCCACACTTCCTGAGATTCCAAAACCCACTGTTCCTGAGATTCAGAAGCCCACACTTCCTGAGATCCCCAAGCCCACAGTTCCTGAGATCCCGAAGCCCACAGTTCCTGAAATTCCAAAACCCGCACTTCCTGAGCTTCCAAAGCCAGAGTTGCCTACTTTGCCCAAACCAGAAGTACCAAAGGTGCCAGAATTCCATGACCTTCCTAAGCCCACCTTGCCCAAACCAGAAATACCAGAGTTGCCCAAGGACTTCCCTAAACCTTCTCTACCCCATCCTTAGAGACCTACTTTTGTGAAAGCTTGTGATATATTCGCTACTACTAATGTTACTTCCAAGAAATTCGTCATTTAGAGTATTCCCTGAATATTGAATGATTATTTGTGTGTGGTCTGTTGTTCTGTCATACGATGAACAATTTATGTATGTTGAATTTATGCACCTTGATTATATTATACTCTACTGTTAGAGTATCGTTGAATCAATTTGACTTCATGTCCTTTTGGCAACTTAATGTGCATGATAACAAGAAATAAATCCATGACTAAAAGGTTTTACACTATAAAAAAATGAAAAAATCAAATAATATTCATATCTAGTTTAAAGGAAAAAAATGACAAATGAAGGATGGTCAGTGTAGTAGTTGTAGACCATATACGTTCTTGCTCAACCAATGCATAAGGTCTTTTTGTCTAGCAAAAACTTGATGGTACATTTTGTTTGTTGGTGTTTAGTTTGCTGATGATTGATCGTACCAATTGAAGCATAAAAGGAATATGCTTTTCATTCCAGAAATTTTACTCTCTACTATTCAACTCATTACAACAAAAGGTCTTTTTATCTACAGCTTCCAAGAAACTGAGAAGAACAATCAGACATTAGCATTCAGTCTCTGAACTTTTTTCATCATGGTTGCTATTCAAATTACATGAAATAATTACCCACAATATGTGGCTTGCAAGTTCATATTGCAAAGGCAAGCATAAAGATATTTCCCTCTGCAACACTAATAAAACATAATTCATATTACATGTGAATCCGGCACTCCTTTTTCAACAAGTTAAGAAATCCATGTTGATTGACAGTACAAAATTTTCTTTACGTATATTTACAACATATAGCATCAAGTATTGAGCCTAACTTCACTCTCACCTGTACATCCAGAATACCTGCAACACTCCAGTGAGTGTGCAACAGCAAACACCATCATCACCTTGCAGACAGCGAACGAGAGCTTTTTGATGTTATAAATAGCAATGTCTAAAGAATTGATCAGTCTTCCTCCCATTAGCTAGTAACACAAAATATATCTCCGAACCACTTTCGACCATGTCGGCTGATTGATTGGAAGCAAATCTATTAACCCAGGGGGGGCCCTAATCTATTGGATACGGTGGCACGGGCTACCGCTTCGTTCTTCTGTCGTAGTGTAAAAAATTATTGGGTCATGAAATTTGCCACCGCATCAATTTGGTTTGCATGTTTCCGTTGGTAGAGTTGGTTGGCAAGACTTTTCTTCCACATCGGACCCAAATTCGGTCAGTTAAAGTCATTTCCTTAGTTTTTAGCTTTTAATTTCAGATTTATTATGTTCTAAACAGAACTTGCAATAAATGTTTTGAACACAAGATGTCACATAAGAAAAACAATGAACTAATCATCATATTTTGTAAAAATATCCATATAATTGTTTTCTATAGTCAAATGGCCCACCACTTGGAAAAATTTCTAGAACCCGTCTCTAGATGATGTGTAATATATATATATATATATATATATACATACATATACATATATATAAGAGAACAAGATAATTATCTATTAACAATTAAATGATTTATTATTATATATATGATATATATATATATATATATATATCTGGAAAATGTATATATATGGCAGTTATTTGAGAAAGCGTATCATGAAATGGTGCCTTGATGGAAGGACCGTTTTCATGCCTCTTCATCTTTTATAAATTCATTTTTGACGCCATATTGTTCATATCCATACACAGAACACAAACCCTCCGTTTTAACCAATCCATCATGGAATAAGAATTTAGTGTGGATCTGGTAAGGATGGAACAAGAACAAACCAACACAACCACGAKCTCTTCATCAAACGTTCCCGGTATGTTCGATTACTCGCTTACGATTATATACTTAATTTAATTCATGGGTTAATGAGATGTATGCATGTTTATGTATTCATAACAATTGATATCAGAGCAATTAACCTCTGAATTGAATTAGTATTTTGATACACTGACCGATTGATAAACGATGGATCGACTTGAATATAAAATATTCTGGAAATTAGTTCATCTTGATCATGTTCCCGAATAACTTTCTGGTTGAAACTGGAAATWGTCTCATCCTGATTCATACATCAAATTATTGTTTATTTCTAATTCATACCGACTATAAAGGACTATGCTTAAGATTCTGGAAATCGCTATTCATCTGTAGTTACTGTTAAATGAGTATGTTGATAAAAACGACTCATAGACGCCGATTGAAAAAAAGTGCCCGATCGGTATAGTCCCGATCGGCATAGAGGACAAGTCCCGATTAGTATACAAGGACAAGTCCTGATCGGTTTCAAGGGACAAGTCCCGATCGTTTTCATTAAACAAGTCCTAACCGGTATAGGAAAAGATCCTGATCGGCTTCCTTAGAAAATTAGCCCGATTGACGCTTACCAAGTCGGTATAGTTTATCCCGACTAATATGAGTATCGATATACATTGTTTATTATCCAGTATAACATATCCCGACCCAAATTGATCCAGGAAATTCAGTCGACCCCAAGTCTGCTTAATTTGATGAAGTCTAAACTATCTTTTTATATTTAAATTCACATATACTGCATGTTAGTATATAAGCAGATTGTTGTATTCCCTCATGGAAATCCATATATCACTATAGTGAAACAGGATTTATGTGATTCGAATACTACCACAGTAGTCAAGAATCACAATTGAGAAATTGCAATTTTCTTATATAGAAATTGCAATTTTTAYAAGTGTTAAATTTTCACATACTGCCATAGCAGTTCTGATCAAAACATTTATACACGACTGAATTTCGGATTAAATATGCTTTCACAAAAGGTAATTAAATCCGAGATTCACGTCACTACATAAATTAAAGGAATTGATTCTATTCCATTATAGACAAAATTCAGAATTATTCATTAAGACTGATCAATCTTGATCCTTGTCGCTCTCAGCACAATACTCAATGAGTATGGCTAACTTTGCACCACTAAATGGTGTAAATTACAAGAAATGGAAAGAGGACATCGAGCTCATGTTAGGCATTCTGGACTATGATCACGTTCTCAAAGAAGATCCACCATCAGAACCTGCTCAAGCAGCAGCAAAAGAAGTCAAACTAAAGCATCAAGAATGGCACAAACACAATAGGATAGCCTTGATATACATTAAGAAATGTATGACTGATGCTGTCAAGGGCGGCATACCTGAGTCTGATCTAGCTAAGGTTTACTTTGCCTCAATTGCAGACAAATATAAGGTATCGGATAAAGCAGAAACCGGATACCTTATGAATAAATTGATCAGGATGAACTTTAATGGACAGGGTAGTATCAGGGAATACATCTTGCAAGGAATTGACGCCTCTTGCAAGCTAAAGGAAATGAAGGTCGAAATTGACTATTCATTCCTGGTACACTGTTGATCCTCTCTCTCATTGATTTGTTGATAATCCCTTTTTCCTTTCGATGTATTTATGTATCTGTAATTTCAGTTCCAGCGATCATACACTGAGCTTGTTCAGTGATCGCTGATGAACTTGTTTTGAAATTCATTCAGAGACAACGATACTTCAAGAAAATAACACTCACACCAAAGATCCTTCAGCAAACGT